TGTGTTTGCTGTAATAATACACTAACCCCTGTGAGGCACAGAGTCTCACTCATACTGTAAATGTGCGCTTCTTTTCTTGTTTTCCTGCAGATTTGCTGCGGAAACTTAGCAGGAAGTGTTTGCTGTAAAGTGAGATTACGGGAAAATCCTGTGTGAGGAGGACACTGATATGTTATGGTGTTTTTGTCTCACTGTGCAAGAGAACGTCATGTTTCTTTCAGTTGTCAGTGGCTCCTGAGATCCTCTGCTTTTTCCAGATAGTGTATTATCTGCCATTTATTTCCGTCTGTTACAAGCACCCAACTTGTCTCGCTTTATTTAATTCAGTATTTAAATAATTCTTGTATACTTCATATTCCTCGCCATTGTCTATCTAGGCTCTCCTTTTGTTGCTCTCTCTTTCCTCTCACATCCATCAGGTTGCAGCAGATGGCTGCCCCTCTTTGAGCCAGGTTCTGCTTGAGGTCTCGTCCTGTTAAAGTTCCCCAATATTCCGAGGTGACTGATTATAGGGAATTTTCCTCTTAAGGTCTTCTCTCAAATTATTGTAAATTCTTTACCTTGCAATATAGAGCAACCCGAGATGGTTGTAGCTCTAAAGTGGCACTAAACAGAACAGAACAGTTTTGTTTTCATGTTACTGTAAACTGCCTGTGGAGCAAGGGCAGGAGCTGTCAAGAACCAGACTAAGATACATATTTCTAAGCTTAGGCCTAGGCTGCCACTCGTTTGACAAACCACCTAATTTATCTCCCATTTAGGACGGGCCAGTCCATCTACTGGTTAAGAACAGTGACAGTGAACCAAAGCAATACAGAACAGTGACAGTGAACCAAAGCAATACAGGTCATAAAACATAAACAGTGCACTGAATGACACTAAAGGGATCCGCATAATTGTTTAGTTACTTGGAGTTGCTCGGCCCCATGTTAAAATACATTTTTATTTAGTACAACTTTAATCTTTACACAGCTGGGAAAAAAGAATGGATGCATGACTACAGCTTTGGTCATTCGTTTGCTAAAACCGAAACAAATCTTCTACTTTGTCATTCTAATCCTTTGCATGCAGCCACACTTCTTTTTACATTTACACCACTAGGCCTATGTCATGAGAGCACCTGCAGGCAACAAGCCAGAAAAGTGTCTTGCTCTAGGGGAGATACAGCATGGGACGTCAGAGGAGCAATCCAGGTGGGAAGAAAACCTTTTCAAGGGGCGATCGTGGCTCAAGAGTTGGGAGTTCGCCTTGTAATCGGAAGGTTGCCGGTTCGAGCCCCGGCTCGGACAGTCTCGGTCGTTGTGTCCTTGGGCAAGACACTTCACCCGTTGCCTACTGGTGGTGGTCAGAGGGCCCGGTGGCGCCAGTGTCCGGCAGCCTCGCCTCTGTCAGTGCGCCCCAGGGTGGCTGTGGCTACAATGTAGCTTGCCATCACCTGTGTGTGAATGGGTGGATGACTGGATATGTAAAGCGCTTTGGGGTCCTTAGGGACTAGTAAAGCGCTATATAAATACAGGCCATTTACCATTAGGGTACTGTTCAGTCTTTGAAACCTCCTATTAGTTGTCTTCTCTGTTTTAGATAAGCTTTCTAGAATATGTGGAAATAACCCCATTTGATCTTTCCTATCTCAGCTTGGATACTATTTAATTAACGAGTTAAAAAGCGAGCTAATGGACATGCGATACTAACTGCAGGAGTATCCTATCCCTTCAAGGGCTGTGTCCTTTTTGACAAGCTGAAGCAGAACAGTCACACTTGTAAGTGTGTGAATTATGTGAGTTTGGTATGTAGGGTGTTTGTCCCCAACGGCATGCAAGGGCAGGATGATTACGACAAGTGTGTTTTGAGCCGTGAACTGGGTGTCTGCCAGGGTAACAACAACAGAGCAGGATGTAAGATAAGGGAATGAACACACACACAAGCATATGCGATGTTCCTCAAACACAAACACACGCTGTGTTCTTCAAACAGAAAACTCCAACTCAGTGTCATGCTTTGTCAGACTGTCGACAGAAGTTCCCCTCCGGCAATGCCACGAAAAGCTCTTACAAATAAAAAAACCACGATGTAGCAAAAATACACAAATGCACATGCGTGGCACGAGACACGTGTCAGCTATACCTAATAATCACAGAGACTTGACACAGATCTAATCTTCAAAAGTTTAATTAATTAATTAAAAATCACTTCCCTTTTCAGCTTTTTTCCCCCCTAGCATAATAATGTACCACAGGTTTCCCCTTAGACACTACAGCCAATAGACGAGGAAGCTGATGCAGGACTTGCTCTGCTGATTGATGGCAGTTTGAGATGTGGTGAGATGTCAGTTGGGGGTTGCACTTTTTCTTTTTTTCCTGACTCAAACACAAAGTATCAGCAAAGAGAGACACACATATGCAGTCCCTTCAGAAAACTTGAAGACTTAATCCATCACACCCCTACTGACAGACTCATGAAAAAAGGAGAAAAGTGAACACCAGGGGACAAAAAAAGACAGATAAAAGCCACAGAGAGACCAATGCAAACTTATAAACTTATACAGGGAGGCAGACAAAAGCTTGCAGTGTATCCCTCAGAGACTGGACCCAGGTGAATCCGAATGATGCTGGCACATTGCTCTCTACAATGGCCCAGATAAACAAAGAGAACACACACCGACACACACACCATGGTCAGTGCAGTGCTTATATAATATATTTTCCACTAACATGGTAACTGCACACTCATCTTCCCTGCGGTGAACTCCGCTCAGCTGGAGCGGACATGAAGGAGGACTACAGTGATGCACCACCCAGCTTCCTTCAGACCAGCATGTCTGAATAAGGGGCAATAAATGCCAACAAGGTCAAAACGGGACACGCGAGCAAAAGCTTTTACGCAACACAAGCGCATGCATAGATTCTAGCACAAAAACATCTACCTTCTCTTACTTTTTAAAACACACCCAAACACATAGTGTGCAGAGGTATTTATCTCTCTTTTTCTTTCTTTTGTTTTTAACACATCATATTTCTAAGGTGATCTGCTGTGTCATCTCACTCTGCTGGCCTCCAGCACATGAGATTCAACATCTCTTACTCCTGCTTTCTCCATACAACTGTTTCATATTTCTTCACACAGGGAGCAGCACAGGATCGTGTATCATATTACTGAGGCTGAACAAGGCAGCCGTGGTTTTTTTCTTCTTCTTCTTGATCTATCACTTCCTCTATTATACCACTCTCTCATGTCAGGCGGAGGGATGGAGACTCAGAAAGTGAGTAAACAAGCTTGGAGTGAAGGCAGTGAAAAACATTTTGTATGTTGGCCGCACCTCTTAACATCGGGGAGCTCAAACTGGGTTGTATTTGCGATCGAATGCAGTAATGATAAACATTTCTATCATATTTACGCCATGTGATCATGGTGAGAAACTAGGCTACAGGACAAGCAGGTCAATTTATATTTTACAAGATAAATATGACAAATTTATTAAAATCCACATATGTACACTCTGAGTATAAAAGAAATGTTTTCCAAACTCATTTGTTAAAAACCTTTTTTGTAAGTTATTTTGTTGTGATTCACATTTTGTGCAATGCATTGCTCCTGATCTCATTAATAGCCTGCATCCAGTATTAGATAAACACACTTTAAACCTTGGACCTTGGATTTTATACAGATTCAACATTAGTGTGGCCGATATAAATAAGATGAAGTTTATTGACGTCAGATACTGATGTTTATCTGATGTGTTGTGTCACTTTTGTGCTGATTAAATGTTCAAAAGCTGTGTGATGGAGATCTAAATGACTTTGAAACAGGTATATGTTCAAAATGCACTCAGATTTACTTCCACTGCACAATCAGAGCTAACAAAAAACAAAATAAACTGGCACTGGCTATGAGGCAAACTGTTAGCCATAATTTCACATCTGATGCCGCTTTAAGTGCTGTAATTAATGTTTGATATTCATACTTTTAATGGCTAATCAAGATTAAATTAGCCAGAAGGATGGGGGGGAGAAAAATGAAATTTAGGACCGGGAAAGATCTGTGATGAAATAGAGAAGACATGTAAAAAGTGCAAGAGTAGGTAGCCTCAAGTGCTTCTTCTTCTTTGGTGAATATATACAGTATATAGGTCAGCTCTACATGCTGTGAAAGACCTTGTTGATGCCCACAACATACTGGGATGTACAGTGTATCACACTATCTTCCCTTCTACCAGAAGGCTGAGGGCAGAGCGCACACAGGAAAGAGGGCAACCATGCAAAGCTAAATAATGCAATGCCTCAGTCTCCACATTATGACCTAGTAAGTGGTTGGTTATACAAACACTCAGACCCTCTTGGGCTGTGTCTGACAGCACAATCAACAGGATTATGAAGTCATTTCTCGGTCTAACGGCATGTCAATTCACCATTTTAACTTCAGGGACTCCAGAGGAATAACTGGAATGGGTGAATGTGAGAGGTTTGGGCGATATCTGGAGATGCCTAGATGCTCTTGAATTAAGTGATCTAGGCAGTGTGAGCTGGTGAAATGAATGAGAGAACCATGAGTAAGGAGCAATGTGGGTACTTGTCATGCAACTCCACAAACTGACTTTCTCTCTTGGCATCCTGTAGGCCTGTGTGTTGACACCTTTAAAGGGAGCAAAAATGCGAATGGAGTGATACTGTTTACAAGACACAGTCCCTCTCTCTCACACACACACACACACACACACACACACACACACACAAACACACACACACACACACACAGAGCCTTGGAACACTTTCTATAATTTGCATCAGAAATTGAGAAAGGGCTCCTTCAACTTCATGCATAGTGTCAAATCTGCATTGGTCTGGGTTAACTACTGGTTAAGCCTTAGCCCTTCAAGTGGCCAGCCTAACTTCTGCACATGTGTATCATATGTGCAGCAGCATAAAAACATTGATGTCACAAGGCACAAACTAAGCGACTCACAGACCCGTGAAAGCCACCCCCGGTTAAGCGTTCCACCCTACCTTCGGTGTGGCAAGTGGAGGACAGGATGGTGCTCGGAGGGCGGAAGAGATACGGGAGATAACGGGAAAAACATTTCATCTTCTTCTCCGGTGCTTGCTAACGGGTGTAGAGCGCTGCGTTGCGGGCTCCACATCCGCACTGCTGCCGCCGACAGCCAGCCACAGAGGATCCGGGGAGGTTCGGAGAGGAGGAGGGGGGAGTGAAATAGGCTCTGTCCGCGGTGCAGGGGGGCTATGACAGCATCACTTTTTCACAGGCAGGCAGGGAGGCAGGCAGGCAGTAGGCTCCGGTAGATCTGCGCTTCACCCGGGGAGCGAATAGCGCACGGTGTCAGCGCGTCTCCGCTTCGGCAGGTCTCTCCGTGTATGTGGGCGAGTTTGTCTGAGCAGGACAGGGGGTCGCTTCTGTCCTCTTATCATGGGAGGTCAATGTATGTGTGGTCTGCTGGTGTGAACACCCTCCTCGTGTTTATTTCTCAGTGTATTTGGGTTTAAATAAAATAAAAAAAAAGAGCAGGAAAAGCGCAATTACATCTGCGAGAGCCAGGAAGTTTTGCCTTATAAATTTGGTAGTCTGTTTTATATTAAATGTAGCTAAGGGCAAATACTTTGATTGGAAATTACACTGAATGTTTTTTGGGGTGTGTATTACCGATAGAACATGTGTTTTGCCGATCTATTAGTGCTACTCACACTTATCCCTGATGCCTAAAAGAGGGTTGTGTGGTGCACAGAGCCCAGAACTTGATGAATCATAGACAAAACTTGTTTGTAGACCAGGTTACCGATTAACTAAGTTTAGCGCCATCTTGTGGAAATATTTAATGTAGCTAGAAAACACAAGTTATAACGTCACAAAAAACAAACCTAGTAAACATCGTTGTGCATGTTTACTAAAAACGCCCCTGCAATTTTATCAACTAAAAATTATTACGTGGCATTATTTAAAAAATAAATTTGTTATGGTGAATAAAAATCTTAACGGTCACCTTCTTTTAGTCGAATTTAACTCCTCGTAGCACACGCAGCACTTAAACAAGTTTCAGTACGACGAAATTGTGTCATCTTTGCCAGACCCCTCTGTGTTTACGCTTGCGTTTATCTGTGTTATCATTTTAAACACTGACTTCTCGCGAGACTTGAGTGTGAACTAATGCCAGCGGAAGTAGTTTGCGAGTCTCTTTTCCGCCGGCCATAGAGGAGCAAAGGCAGGGTAAGAATTCCCGGCAGATGAATTCGCCAAAGTTATCGTTATCCATCCTGCTTTTAATACCACTGTGTGTCCGTATACAAGTGTAAACCCCACATATACTTCAGTACAATTAAAAATCAGCGAATATTGGCTTCGTGTTGACGATGGATTACTAAATAAACGCTGTCAGTAGTTGGTCTCCCTGTTAGGTCCTTCAGTATCCGCATGTCGGTTAGCGATAGTGAACCAGCTCTACTCCTGGTGCTAGCCTTTAATATTTGACCAATTTTACATTCTGTAACTGTAATGGGCTTTTAAAAACATTGTTTTGGAAGTGTGTAGTTTGTTCAACCACTGTACCGAGTTTATGTTGCAGAAATATCCCGCTTCGGTCTGACGGCTATCTTATGCTAACTACTTGAGCTAGCTTAATAGTCGCCTTTAAAACGTAGCACAACCTAGCCAGGTACCTAATACAGCAAAATAACACACATAGTGGACATTCTAGGTTTGGGTTCTCAGTTGCTTTATGTGGTGTCGGAAGATAGTAGTGTGTACTTTAACCCTACATTCTTATATTTTCTTAAAACTGTCGATCCTGATCCACAATTTGAGTGGACTGTTTTGCAAGCAAGTGCAGCCTTTATCGCCTGGGTTTGTCAATGTGCCATTACTTGTTTCTTTACAGCATCATGAAGCTCAATCCCTTTGTAACATCCTCCCGTCGCAAGAACCGTAAGAGGCACTTCAATGCCCCCTCACACATCAGGAGGAAGATCATGTCTTCCCCCCTGTCTAAGGAGCTCCGCCAGAAATACAACGTGAGGTCCATGCCCATCCGCAAAGATGACGAAGTCCAGGTAATGTGGTTTGTATTGCTGAGGGGTTCTTTTTTATAGCTGATGTGCAACATGTTAGGCAGATTAGTCTGACCTCCTTGTGTATTTACATACAGGTTGTCCGTGGACACTACAAAGGCCAGCAGATTGGCAAAGTAGTCCAGGTCTACAGGAAAAAGTATGTCATCTACATCGAGCGTGTGCAGAGAGAGAAGGCCAATGGAACAACAGTCCATGTTGGCATCCACCCCAGCAAGGTGAGACGTAATTGAATAGATACTGAGTTTGTGTGAGTAGACTTGTTCCGTGGTATAGTCACACATGGTGCTTACTGGCTTCATATCTGTTTGGTTTGTTTGTGTCAGGAAGATGTAGTCTTGAGCTTTTCATGTCACAAGCTCTTAAGCTGATCAACACAAATTCAATGTGGAGGGTAGCTATATAAGTATTTCTTGGGTATTTTGGGGTTCTTAGTGTTTTTTATCTATTGTAATTTTGAAAGTTGAGGTATTTTAGCTCTTGATGTTTTCTTTTCCTAACAGCTGGCTCAGAGCCCTGTTCCAAGAAGCATGTTCAACAAATAAAGTTTATATATAAACTTTGAGTTTAAGTCTAAGATCTGCAACTCTTAAGCTGTGTCCACACTGAAAACAATTGTCGTGTTGTGCCTTTTAGCCGTATTCTTCATTCTGTGGTAGTCTTTTCAGTCACTGGTCTGAAAGTGTGAGGGGTCCCACCTACTTCACATTGATAACAGTTACTTCACTCAAAGTCGACAAATGTCATTCACTTTTTGTTGTCTGCTTACCAGATTGCTTTGAACTGCTAAAGATTTTGGTTTCAGAACAGCTGATCAGAATATCTTCATTGAACTTGAGTGTTCACCTTTAGTTAAGCACATGCATGAGTAGAAAAAATGTAAAGGAAACCATCAGTGGAGCTCTGACACCCAGAATCATAGGATCGTGGGATTCCAGCATTTTCCTCATGTCTGGATTAACAAACCGAGGGATGTTTGCTAAATCTGCTTCCATGAGTGGGCCCCAGTCACTACAGTTGTAAACTTCAATAGCATTCAGGTGCTTGACTCTCTCATCTTGCAGTCAGACAGACTACTTGACTAGTTGTGGTTGTGTGGGACGGTAGTAGCCAAAGGCGGTGTGTGTTGTAATCTGGAGATTGTAAACTGGTGTTATGGTTGATGTCGTTGGCATACTCTCTGCACATGTATGCAGAGAGCAAAGTAAAGTGGAGTCAAATTCCTTACTTGTTAAGCACAAACCAAATATGGGTGACTCTGATGTATCTGATTCTGCTCATTGCACTTCAACGCCACCTTAGACCCATTTAAATCTGGATACTGGGTGTTGTCCAGTCGCTGTAGTCTGCTGCTAAATTGATACATTTTCAAGACTCAATCACTGCATTAGTGCTGGTAAAGAAGAAGTCAAAACAAGTAAACATTTTTATTATGGAGAATTTTTCAACTGCTGCGGTAGTATCCCGCTGTGCTATTGGGAAATCCCTATGTTCCTGAAGTTAATTTATCAAGGGACCAACTCACTCCCACTTGTCTCCAGTGAGGCTGCAGTGTTTTCAAAAAGAAAAGGAAACTTTACATCGAGCCCAAATGACACCAAATCTCACTATGCACCAGCAACTCACTAAGGACTTCTTTTGTGGACAGTCTAGGATTACTAGATATAAGAAGATGCCATATCTAAGCCAGACTTCAGGTTTCTATATTACATGTGTGTAAAGCTGCCTGTTGGGCTAAGATTTGCTTCTAACTAATTATGTCTTAATCCTGCTCCCGGGTGCACACCCTAAACTCTGATTACAGGTAGACTTGAGAGAAATTTCACTTGGTATTTGACACAGTGTTTCATCATACTCTGACACTTGGTGTTATGAGCACTGAAATTGAAAAATCAAAGTGACCAAATAACATTTTGTGAAGTGCAGTTGCTCTGGTTTAGCTGGATTATAGATTTTTTCTTTCTTTTTTTTTAAATTTGCTGATGCTGTTCGGTTTTAAATTGCAGTGTAATGCATTAAACTACCACAGAACCTCTTTCTGTCAGTTCTGTAAATCTGTAAACACAGGTGGATAGCTGAAGCAAGTACAGAGCTAATGGGAGAGCATGTGACATCCTAGATGCGGAACATTAGTAATTTAAGAAGAATTATATTTGAATTTCAGCATGTCCCTTTTGATTCAATTTTTTATTTTTTTTATTTTTTTAAACGTAAACTGGAAAAGCAAGATTTTCCTTGTAGAGTAAAAATAATAATCCTTGGTTACAAAAACAGTGGGAAATGTTTCAATTATTAAGCAATGTCTTTTTGTTAAATTTTATTAAAGAGATTTGAAGGTAATTTCAGACATATTGCTGATGTATCCATGAGAGAATACATGTTTGTTTACCAAGATGTTTTTGTGTCTGCAGGTGGTCATCACCAGGCTAAAGCTGGACAAAGACCGCAAGAAGATCCTGGAGCGCAAGGCCAAGTCTCGTGCTGATGGAAAGGAGAAGGGCAAATACAAGGAGGAGACCATTGAGAAGATGCAGGAGTGAAAATGATCTTTTGCTATCAATAAACTCTGTAAATGGACCTCATGTTGTCTGTCATATTTTCGTTGTAACGCCCTAAACTCGGGAATGTTTTTTAATGTTTTATTTTAAACATGCTTGTCTTTTTTATGGAAATTAACACTTGGGTATACTGTATGCCTTCAAAGTCATGTTCAAATCTCTAAACAGCACACTGTATTATAAGGAATTTAATGAATTGGCCAGTGCTGCTGCTTAATTAAAAACAAGCTGACTGACTACACACCACCTCAGCTTCTATGTTAATTGATTTCACTATGAAATGATGAGGTGAAAATCCAAAATACTGTGCAAGAAACAAAAAAATATTTCAAAGCATTTAAGCAAAAATATGGAAACCCAGCATTTGCTCTAACAGATCCAGATTAATATACTTTATGGATCCTCCAAAGGAAATTACTTTTAAGGCACCAGGATAAAGGATAAAAATGAAATCTTATATCCTGACAGGTGTGTTCACCTGTCACAGAAGAAGAGAACAGTAGGAAACCATTTTGGTTTTAAACGAGCTGATGAATGAGGACTGTGGTGACCGTGATGGGCTGTCCATGGTGGACAGCAGGTAATTCAGTGACCTCTTGCTCCTCACTGAATGCCTCTGGGTCCCTGGTGCCATCTCTGACAGTGTTTGAGAGGGAAGAAGAAAAAAATAGATTTTGCAAGAAATTTTACATTAAATTTAGCGAAACTAAAACATCATAGGAGGAGAGGCTACCAATTGAATGAAAAAAAGATATACAGGTGAAACTTGAAAAAATTTGAATATCGTGCAAAAGTTCATTTATTTCAGTAATTCTACTGAAAAAGTGAAACATAATAAAAACTCATTACATGCAAAGTGAGATAATTCAAGCCTTTATTTGTTAAAATTTTGCTGATCGTGGCTAACAGCTTGTGAAAACCCCAAATTCAAAAGCTCAGAAAATTTGAATATTGTGAAAAGGTCCAGTTGTAGGCTCAAAGTGTCCCACTCTGATTAGCTAATTAATCCAAAACATCTCCAAAGAGTTCTTGAGCCTTTAAATGGTTTCACAGTCTGGTTCAGTAGGAATCACAATTATGGGGAAGACTGCTGATCTGACAGTTGCGCAGAAAACCATAATTGACACCCTCCATAAGGAGGGAAAGCCTCAAAAGATAAGTGCAAAAGAAGTTGGATGTTCCCAAAGTTCTGTATCAATGCACATTAATAAAAAGTTATGTGGAAGGGAATGGTTTGGAAGAAAAAGGTGCACAAGCAGCAGGGATGACCAGAGCCTGGAGAGCATTGTCAGGGAAAGGTCATTCAAAAGTGTGGGGGACCTTCACAAGGAGTGGACTGAGGCTGGAGTTGGTGCATCAAGAGCCACCACACACAGA